TATGAGATTGTGCACTAAATCATTAGAGCTACAATTGTGGGGCAATGACTTATTGAATTAACATCCTTATCAATCATACGTTGTCGATCATGTGAGATCGAGTCAACACTTTAGTTGACACCACATTTTCGACTCCTAGGATTGAGTCTCAACTAATGTGCCGACTGAATAAGCATATGATGTGTTAGTCGAATGGGCATAACTTATATGTTGATGGTTACTACATGTCGTGCTTCCTATATTATTTATTCCCATTGTGGTATGACCCATGAAAAGGGTCGAGACATGATGATTTACTCGGTGGTTTGGGAAATGGTTGGAAAATAGAGACTTCAACAATGAGAAATATATTATTTTTTAATATTCTTGAGTTTAGGTGTGAAAGAGTGGGTCTTCCAAAGTCACCCATGAGAGACTAACACTAATATGTTAAACCAAATTTTAGTTTTTGATATATGAATTAAGTTTTGAGCTAATCAAGATCTATTTTTAGGTCTGTCTCAAGCTGAGGTGTTGGAAAGTTGGGAATTCGATCCCAGACTATTCAAAAGTAATGATGATGGTGTGCATGATAAAGTTCCTCTTATCTTTTTTTTTTTAATATGAGATTTAGAGATGTAGTAGAATAATCAAAATTAAAAAAGTTAAAGAGAGAATTAATACCTTTTAGAATATTTTTATAGCATGATGGGTGACCATCTGGGTGTAGTTGTGATAAACGTTAAGAGAAATTACTAGTGTTATTCGACTATCGGTAAGTCAATATCTTTGATAGTGCTACGTTATCAATCCCGTGGGATCGAGTCAATATCGTATTATATACCATGTTATCAACCTCATGTGATCGAGTATCGTCTAATGTGTTGACTAAATGGGCATGACATATAGGTACTATCAATGTATTATGCTCCCTACGTCAAATACTAAATAAACTAATTTGTTTCAAAAGATATAGTTATCAAGATTTAATAAAAAGATGGTGTTGTGATGGTGTTTGGATTTGAGATTGAGATATCATTTAGTATAAGTTTTACCTTATTTTACTAGAATACTTCAAATGAATGTCCTTTTCTTGGACAAACTTGCATTACCATGTTTTTGGTATCCTTGAAAACTCGTTTATGATGTTTATAGCAGTAACGATACATCTTTAACCTTAACAAACATATATTAAACATCTTTAGAATCGATAAGTTTGTGTTCCCAATATTAACATGTAATGACAAATGCATCTTATTATAAAATTTGTACGTGTGTATATATATATATATATATATATATATATATTTGTACTACAAATACATCCAAAATCTTTTGAATAGAGCCAAAGTTTCAAAAGACCCCACAATATAACTCGATGATTTTTTGTTTGTTTGTGTATTAATGGGATAATAAAGGCCTTTATTTATCGACTATAATGGAGGCATCTACCTACAACGTTTGTGATGTGATGTGAGGCTAAATTCTCAACTTAAGCCACCCATCAATAAATCTCCACCTTAGCTTTAAGTTGTGCCAATGTCTTCGAATATAAATTTCTTCTAACATCTTCTCCGAAACCCGAATAACATATCAAATTGACTTCTTCGTCATTATATCTATCTATCATATTTCAGCCATACTAATTTTCTTAATCGCAATAGCATCATATGATATAATATCTTAAATAAAATGATATCTGATGTCTATATGTTTGATATATTTAATTTTCGATGAATGTACGATACTTTGACTATCAAACTGAAGTATAATGCCAAATCGCCATCCAACTTTTTTTTTCTCTTTATGTCGAAAGAGAAAAAAAACCTTCTTTAATTATTCTTTAATTATGAGTTTGAGTGATTTTGGTTCAACACATCCCAAGAACACACATTTTTGTCGTCTTCTTCCTCCAAGTTTACCATCATTTACATGACCGTACGCAGGACAATCAAATATATTTTAAATCAAAATAATTAGAAAGAGAATCAGATCATACCTCAGTTTCACTAAGTAGCGGTTACAAGTAAGAACTTCGATCCAAGTGTTCTCAGCTAAATTAGATCGAGAAAGCATACAAAGTTCTCTTTCCAAAAATATTTTGTTCATATATTTTGTTGCGGTATTCCAATGCAATGCATGTACGGTGTCCTACAATATAACACCCTCAATTAGTCTTACATCGAAAGTGTGTTAAGACTAAGATTGACTTATAAGGGTTTGAAGAGTGTATCATGATAATTTTAGCTTAAACATTTATAAAGTATCATGAAATTCTAATATAAAGTACTCTTTATATTAGAATTTCATACTAATATATTTTTTGAAATCTTTAATTTTTTATTTATTTGATTTTCTATATGAATTCTCTAACTTCTTAAGAGTATGAAAAATATCATTCTTGATAAATCACATTTGATCGGTTCATCACTAGTGCGATCGTTAGGCTCGTAAGAAATTATCCGTTTTGAATATATGGACTACGCTTCTTACTTATGAGTTATGTCGACATCACTTCTTACTTACGTGCTATGCCCTTCGTATATATCTGTATTAATTGAGTGTGTCAAATTAAAATATTTGTTTCCATGTTAGTTATGGCATAGATGCATGCAGGTATGCAAGTGATGACACACGTACGTGCATGCATGAACATGATCAAGGCTTGGCATCATTATCATTAGCTCAGCCATATCTCGGTTAACCTATCCATTTGCTGTATAACTTGGCTTAAAAAGCTGGATATATATATAGCTTGTAGAATCGCTAGTCCTGCGGGCCATCCTCGTCCATCATGGTGGAGCAAAAGCTGCGAATCTAGTGCAGGATTATGAGGCTAAGTAAAGCAGTGGCAAAGCCGAGGCTCAAGTTACACAGTGTGAAGGCTGCCCGGCCTAATCAGTGCCCTGCACACCCCACCATGATGAGGACGCACTTGAAAGACCTCATCCAACGAAGTTTGTCGGAGTCAATGCACTGTTCCCGTTTACAAGAAAGATAACCTCGCAATATCATTCTTTTCAAGAGAGAAATCTTTGAACAAAGTAGTTTTTGAGCGACGAGAGAAGATGACAGAGAGGAGGTGGAGAGGTTTCACGTGAGAATGGATGGATGCGTGGGGAACTGAGGCCCTTCTTGACCCCGTTTTCGAGTTCTACATCTTTGACAACTCGTGTACTACTGGTGGCCTCGGCAGAAGAGCCATAAAGCCGGCGACGAGGTGGTGGAGAAATAGAATGGATCTTTGACGACAACGAATAAGCTTCCCACCCGAGGGCAGGCCACGCCTAGCTATTAAAGAACCCAATGCACTTGCGATAAAGACCTCTTCCTACCGCTGCTGCTATTTCTGCGACTTCTGCTCCCCTCTCACTTCCGTCTCCACTAGTTTTTGCATCCTCCGCTCCTATATATGTCTGTATATGCACATGCCAGCACCGATCCCAGATTTCCTTGAACCCACTTCGCACGGTTCTGCTACTTATTTGCTATACGATAGATGATGGAGGTAATTCTTTGTTGTCGGAGGGAGGACCAATTGTAGCTTCGTAGTCGATGTTTAATTGTGCGTTGCTATGGTTGCAGGGCTCGACGAGGGGTCACCAGGTTCCAGCGTTTGGGTACTGGGATCACCGTGATGAACTCCCCATCACCCGGTGCTTTGAGCTTGCAGTGCAGGCTGAGTGGATCCGAGGCCATTGTCGTAGCGAAGATGGTGATCTCTTTAAGGTGGCAGCCCCTGCAGAGACACCAGCTTGTTGTGAGCACCACCACAGAAAGGTTGTCATCATCTGACCGATCTAATGTCAGTCAACTAGAGAAGTTAGATCTCACTAGTTGTCACTCACATTTGGTTGTAGGTGAAGAAGGGTGGCTGCATAGGAAGAGAGAAGGAAGAGCTGCAGAAGAAGCAAGGGAGGGCTACAGCTCCCAAGGCCGTGGACGAGGACTTGTACAAGATCCCACCTGAACTCCTCCACCACCAAAAGCCCAAGCGGGTATTCATCACTCTTAACGCGTTCCGAAATCTCTCTCGACCTAAACTTGGGTGTTCATGTGACTGTTTGCAGGCGAGGATGTTCAAGAATCTGTGGTCGGGATGTATGGGACTCGACAGCGTTGCCTGAGAGGATGTGAGGGTGCATTCCATTGCATCGCATGCGGAAAAGCTTCAGCACCGAAAGGGATATATTAATCCTCGATGTTTCACTTGCTACTGTTGTCTCTTTCTCCTTTAGATCACTGTGATAGATATGATGTATCTTATCTTCTCAGTAAGAAGCATTTGTTTGGGTCTCCGTTGACCGGGTTTTGTTTTCTTCTTCAACCTTCTCGTCACGGGCGCTGCTCTCACGAGTTCGGCAGAGCAGATACAGCTTCTCGGTCAAGCACGCTGAGCCAACTCAATAATTTTGGTCTCTGCAAAACTTATAGGTTGCCACTTATAAACGACTGCACTCTGTGTTCTACACAAGCATATACGTCCACCGAGTCAGGAACTGAGGCGGCTGTTTGGTGGTGCAGCTTTGAGCTCCTTCAAATGTTTTCCACAGCTTGCGCTGTGGCAGCCTTTGACGGTCAAAGATATCGAGCTGCATGCAGCTTTTAGTTGGAGCTTAATAGTGGCTATCTTAGCTTTAGAAGAAGAAAAGTGTACCTCAGTAATCTCACTTTAGAAGAAGAAAGTGCACATTTGGATTTAATGATATATATATATATATATATATATATATATATATATATATATATATATATATAATAGTGATTACCTCAAGATAACGTCAGCATTTCAGTATTCATCTAAAATCATAAAATTATTGACATGATTTATATCATAAACTAACATAATTTTATTTATGAAATTTATTTATTTATTAAAATTATATTATATATCTAGGTCATATATTTTTTTGTAAGATTATATAACTTCATTAAATTAAAATAAATATATATAATTTGAATAAATATTAAAATGATAAATTTATTATATAATATTTAATATATTTAATTTAATTATTATCCTGGTTTAATTAGATTTTAATTTATGGGTGAATGTTGTGGAATAAATGGAGGATATATATGTCATTTCAAATCACACCTCACAATAACATCCCGCTTCTCCGGCACCGGTTGCTCGCGATACGCCCCTGTGTCCGCCGCTCTGGAACCCTCCCCTGCATTCCTTTTCTTTGTTTCGCTTCGCCCTCTGCTTCGATCTTTTCCCGTTCTTGTTCCGTTTTCTGACGCAGATTCCTTTTCGTGTTCTTTCTTTGTTCCATGTTCTTGTTTGATCTTGTGACGTAGGGTCGTTGGTCTGTTTTTTATTGTTCTTTTTCGAATCTTTTTTTGTTCCGACGCAGATTCTTTTTCGTGTTCTTTCTTTGTTCCATATACTTGTTCGATCTTGTGACGCAGGGTCGTTGGCCCGATTTTTCTTGTTCTTGTTCGAATCTTTTGGCGCAGATTTCTCTTCCTGTTCTTTCTGCTTCTTGTTCGATCTTTGACGCAGGTCCTTCTCGTGATTTATTCCTGTTCTATTCGACCATTTGGCGCAGATTCTAAGGTCCCGCAGATCGGAAGAGACGGCGAGGTTCTTGAGGGATTCAGATGGCGGTGGCGTCGAGGCTGGTTCTTGATGGGAACCCGATCAGGCCAGCCACGATCTGTTTGATCGGGGCCGGGAGTTCATCGGATCCCACCTATGCGAGAAACTGATGGCTGTGACGCTCCACAGCGACAAGATCAAGCAACTCCTCGGTCCGCCGCCAGTGGGGTAGCGGTAGGCGCGCACCACCCTTGGGACTTCCAGATCCACTTCCACCGCCTCTTCATCAAGCACGTCTCCATCTGGTTTTCCTTCCCCTTTTCAAGATCCTGTTTCGGATACCCTGCATTGCCTCCATGTCCCGCTCTACCATTTGATCTTTTCTTAGTGAACTATTCCCTTTCTCGACGCGTCGTCTAATTCTTTGAGCGGATCCGCATTCCTGTCACCGTGTTTTCTTTGTTGCACGAGAAATCCAATCTTGAATTAGTTCTTGTGCACAACTTCTTTTCCCATAGAGATGACCAACGTAACTAACTGCATTGACGCTCGTCCAGTTGGAAGCTGTGGGATTTCTTGGTCCCTTCTCTTACATTTAGGTTTTACCGTGGCTTATTTATTTTTGTGATTGCTTGACGTTTGGTGGTTGTTCAGGTCATGTATTGCTTAGATAGCGACAAGCGCCTGATTCGCTTCACCACTTGTGAAGTCTATGGGACAGAAACTGGAAGCCTCCTTTCCAAGGATCACCCTCTAAGAAAGGTGCCCGTTTCACTCCTTCGATCAAAACTTAAGTGAGACATATGCTAATTCTGCCACCATTAGAAGAAGTGATAGCCAAGACTTGACTTATTGCATATAAATGACTTAAATGAGTAGCCTTCTTTTCTGATGCATAAATAGTATCAATTTGTGATAATATATGTCTGTTCTTAATACAATACTTTTGCATGTGGTAACCAGTTTGCATACAGTTAGATAAATTGTAATAGTGTCAGTGTGCTTTCTTTAACATGAACTTCATATTGTATAGGTTTGGGAATGGCAGAAAAAAATGATTTGATGGTTGGAATCGGAACTGGAACCATTCTTGGGTGGTTCCGGTTTCAGTTCAGAACTGGTCTTAGATGGTTCAGTTCCGGTTCTTGATTTTGGGATATCCAAACCGTCAGTTTTGAAATCAAAATCAATGGTTCAGAACTGTCACGAGGGCTATATTCAATCATAATTTTGATCTTAAATATATTTTTGAATATAATGTATGCTAATTCTTTCGATTTCATGTGGAGAAACTGGCCGCCTTGTATTTCCTTAACTTAAACCTCATATATGTTTAGCCTCATTACTTATGTCCGTTGTCCATCATGAATAGTGTAATATATGCTAATTTCTTTGATTTCATGCGGCGAAAGTGGTGGTCTTGAATTTTCTAAAATTAAATCTTATATTTGTTTAGCCTCATTACTTGTGTCCATTCTCCATTACGAATAGTATAATCTATGTTAATTTCTTTGATCTCATATGGAGAAAGTGGTGGCCTTGGATTTTCTAAACTTAACTTTCTTATATGTTTATGTTTAGCCTCATTTCTCGTGTCCATTCTCCATTATGAATTCACACTAACTATATGATGTATATTCCTACGAGCTGTACCGACCTTCTTCCTCTTCCACTGTGAATGGTTACCAGCCGTTTCTTGCTTTCGAAGAATGGCATGTACTTTCGAGGTAACAATGAACTAGGCAGAAAATAGTGGGTAACATGCTACGATATATGTGCACCAAATGAAATAGAATTTTCTTAATGTCGAACTGGGGTTCAGAATGTGGGTGTTTAAAGCCTATCTTGGATTTCATGTGATTAAAGATACAAAAGCTTTTCTGTGGAATGAAATCAACCTTTTTTGTTGACTTGGGCAGTATTTTATGTCCTTATCGCTTGTCTTGCCCTCTTAAGGAGATGAATGGTTTGTCATTGGTAAAGGACATGGATATTCTAGGACTTTCAGTTTGACTGATGTGAACTCTATTCCTTTGTTGTTTCCTTGTAAATAATAAATTGTCTATTTGTACCATCCAGTGTTCAGTCCTGATGATTTTGCAACTTTTCAAGTGCCCTTCGGATCATTTGTATGTTTTCCTGTGCTACTAACAAGAACATATATGATTAAATAGGGACCAAAATTCTATGTACTTCACGGAGAATGCTTCCTGATCCATTTCTAGGCCTATTGAGAAGCAGAGATGATCTTATGCATGTGAAAATCAACTAAGTCTGATATATGATGGGTTTCCTTACTAGTTTTATTATTATTATTATCATCGTTTAAAAGCAATATTACAACCATTGTTTCTTGTTGCATATTTAGACCATCTAAAGCTGAGGGTGCAGAGCATTGTCTGGAGTTCACCATTGTGAGCCATGGCAAGGGATTTCCTAGAATTTGGCATGATTCAGCAATGTACGTATCGAAGCTTTTCTTTGTTCAAGGAGAGAATATAGTTATCCTGTCTGGAGTTAATGGTTTTAATGGTGATCAGTATAAAGAAACATTTATCTTCATCAAGGATGCCATAGAAGCTGTTGTCCTTACGATCATTGTGTGTATTTTTCTGTTTCATTCTTATTGTCTGGTTGTAATGACATAAACAAAGCTGTTATCGTATCTCTTGGGAATACCACATCCATGACGTGGAAAATGCCGACAATGAAGTCACTGTAGAGCAACTTGCTGAATCATGACATAGGTTTATGTTGGTACACCTTTGCCATGGGACCTAATGCAGCTGCTTGTCAATCTTTCTTATGTAATGACGTCAACTCTGCCGGTGCCTGTGAGGGACGTGCGAGTCTCAAGGAATTCTGTGGTAAAGGATATGTGGACAGTGATAAGCAGATTGCCAACGTGATCGTAATCATTAAGGAACTTTGGTAATGCCCCAATTAAATCAAACAGGTTGTTCGTTTCGTAGATACAAGTGTAGTTGATGATGATGGCTCTATACGTATGTACGTAGGTTGGAACGCGCAAGACATACCTGTGGGACATTCTGGAATTGACACTGATCTATTGGCAGCCAACAAGAGAGGGTGCGTCGGTCCGCAAAAAGCATTCTGTTCTCTTTTCCGTTGATTAGCTTCGATGATTCAAATCCTGTTGACTCGTTGTTGTGTCCTCTGGAAGTGGTTTTATATGCCATGTTACCGGTGTGGTATTAACCATGGCCCGCCACATATAGAGAGCATTCTGTTCCATGTTCTATTATCCATCTGCTAATTCATGAACTTAGTCATGCACAAGAGTGATTAATCCTTCCTGCTAACCAGCTTGTATTCACGAGTCTATAAAATATTGCTAGATGGCTGTCAGGTACGACAAAAAAAAAAGTATATATAACGAAAGTGCACATCATAACTTCAAACACGGGTCTATTCCCATATAGTAATTCGTAAAATTAATTAGATAAAATAATGATTTGATGAGAATATTTGATGTTCTCCATCAGATCGTTAAGGATCATAATCCCCTCATTCATTCTTTGATTAAGAAAAAAATCATGGTTATCCGGTAAAACTTTGGAGTCGGCCCCTTCCCCCCGAGTTGATCAATTAAGTATTTAGATGCCAACCTGGACTTCTTGTTTGGTGGATGGTCGGGAGCTGAAACGATAAGAGAGGAAAGGCGAGAGACGGGAGCGAGTCGCTATGGAGGAGGTTGAATCGGAACAGCAAGCCGTCGCCGCGCGCCCGGCGAGGGAAGAGGAGAGGCACGGGACCATGAATCCTTCGCCGACGATGATAGTGACTTTTCCGGATGCCGCCCGCCGCAGAGCCCAGAGCTTCCCACCGCCTCTCACGCTGGAAGGCGAAGAGTCTACCGAGGACATGAGCCATCACAATATGTGGCAGGTATTCCTCCCCTCCCAGTCTCTTCGCCTGCCATCTCAAATGGTTGAAGCCATACAGATGGACGGAGTTCACTCTTCTGCATCTAGAATAAAACCCTAACGCCTGGGTCGGACCTGAAGAGGGCGACTCTCAGAAACTTATTCTATGCAATCTGTAGAACTCAGTCAGTTTCTGGAGAGCCTTTGGTGAGTTAATTGGAAACAACGTAGGAAAGAAAGGGCAAAAAGAATAGTAGGATTGCAGATGATAAGTTGGTGTTTGATGGGTGTTTCATCATTTTGCTAGGCTCAGAGTACAAGGGGGACGATAAAGAGAAACGTACATATTTGAATTAGAAGAAAAATATGGTAGAGGTAGAATTATCTGCTTATTCTGGTCGTGTGTGTGTCCGTGAATATATATATATGTATGTATATTCTTTTGAACCATGCTTTTGCCTATATTTCTCAAAAGGAACACCACGTTTTTCTATCTATGCATTAAGAGATACTGATGGGAGAATAAAAGCATTTATTATGGTCTACATAAAGTTGTGATGGCAGGCCTTGGGCGATAATCATTGATTAGTTTGCTCTGTTAACAGAAACATAAAAATCAACTCTCCATTCATGAAGGTAAGGCTGTTCATATTAGCCCCTCCCTGGACACCATGTTGGTAGGTGCCTCATGCAATGGGATGCCCTTTTGGTCATCTATTTGTGTTTAAGATGTCAAAGTAAAGACCGATGACTTGGAATTGCAACTTGTGTGCTGTGAAATATACTCCGATGCATTAATTTATTTGGTTTCCCCAGATGTATGGATAAGTTGGTCCATGAGTTCGACTTTGGTCGAGCACCGTTTCAGATTAGAAACAAAAATTCTTTAATTCACATACTCCATCTTTAAAGTGTGGAATTAAATGTTTACTGATTTTCATAGTATTCGATCTGTTCTACATATGTAGTTAGGTACATGTAGTGCTTTGCACTGATTTCCCTTTGTTTAATTGTTCCCTACTGTTCCATTATCAGATCAATTCTCATAAGCCACATGTCAGTGGCAGTGGAATCACATCTTTTATCAGGAGACAGACACTTAATTCTCTTAATATGGATGACTACTGAAGCATTGCATAATGTTTTATTAATATAGATATGGACTTGCAAACTTTGCTCTTAGTTCCATTTTGTAAGTGTATAATTTGGTTAACTAAAAAGTTGTGGCATGTGAAAAATAACAAATTTTTGCAAGACCCAATTTTGACATGAGGATGTTCTTTTAGTTTACTTTTACTTTTTTCTTTGAGAATCCAAAAACGAAAAATCAAGCTTCAAGTATTGATAAGCCCCCTACTCTGTCGTAAAGATAGAAACCTACAATTCCAAGCACTTGGCCAATTTAGCTCCATGAGTTGTCGAGCTTGCTTGCTAATTTCGTGCGAAGTTAGCAAGCAGTGACAATCTTTGAACACCTCCATCACTTTCTTCTCCAGCAAATAAGAGGGTACAAAGTGGTTCGAATGAAAAAAGAGTACCTTGCCTGCTTTCTATCTAATTGAGTTATCAACATAATGCAATTGTGGTACTTGCTCCTTTCCTGATCTTTGCTTGCTGCAAGCTAATTGCCATTTTTATTCAGGTGTATGCCCTTGGAGGCTTCATGATTCTGAGGTGGATTTGGGCTCGTTGGAGGGAGAGGAGGGATAGAGGGAAATCAAATGAAGATTTATAGAATTGTGAACGTAGGTTGGTGGAGGTTTCTTTCTGAAACACTTGTTGAGAGCTTATTGAATTATAGTACCACGCATTCGCCAGCATACTGCTCGTGAATCCATATAAACAGCATCTGGCACTTGCCTCTAGTATTTTACAGCATAAAGCTGCTATACTAGCTTAAAGATGCCAATGTTCATACTTGAACCACTGCTAGTTAGTTGTACTAATCACTTTGTTTCGGGTTGACGCTCTGCAGTCTGAGAAAAAGATTGGCAAGCATCCTTTGGTAACATTTTGAAATCATTATGTTTCATGTGTCTTAGACCTCTCGCTTGATATTAACGATGTAGACGGCTCTAACATACCTAAACGACAGTCATATCATCTCGTAAACATCAAAAGAGCCAGATTAATGAATTCTTTGCTCCACATGTTGTTGAAAAGTAATCTTGTCTAGGTTTAATATCACAGTGTATAATACATGTTATATCTGGCAAGTTATATATGAACTTATATTTCTTTGTTTATTTAAAAATTTTCAAATTGCTAAAATTATAAAATGCTTTGTTTAAATCTTTGTAATCCTATTTTGCATTCATAATTGATTCCTTTGTTTGTGCTCTTCAACAAAGAAGCGTATGTATATGTTCTCGTGAGGGTGGCACAATTAAGTGGTGGTTGGCATCTTCTATAGTTTCTTTTGAGCTAACCAAGAAATTGAACTCTTTGTATGGTTAGTTGATTCTAGTATTTCAAGAAGCAAGTTTCTAAAATATTTCGCATTTTCATGCAGTTTTTGTTAGAACATCTGTTGCATATTTTGCCATAAAGACAGGTCAGAACATGTACAGACAACAATATGAACTATCTATTGGATTTTGTAGTGGTTGTTGCCAGTAATCGTTTCAGAAAAACAAGACTACTGAGGCTGCCAAAGTTCGAAGTTAATATAAGTACATCTCCTGGAACAGAATGTAATACTTATCATAGCTTTTTCCTTCTGCTCTGTTGACTATCCCTGATATGGACTTCTTGAGGATTAAACCCATGAGCATGTACCACCATGAGGAACATTTCCCCCAATTCCTGTGATGGGAATTCCAGAAATCGTCGGTGCCAGGAGCTTCAAGAATTGTGGTTATAAATCAAGGTCAGTGAGCAGCAATAGGTTCTTAATACATCTAATGCATTAATTTATTGGTGCAGATCAATACATTTAGACTAAGATATCAGCAAATTGTAATATGAAACCTGAAGGTACCAGAATCACAATACTGGAATGACATCTTGCAAGAAACACTCTTACATTAAATTATTGGGTTCTTAAGATGATGTCTGCTTCCACACATCATCTTCTTCAAGCTAGAACCACTCTCTACTGCAGTTGCAGCTGCTGTTGGGGAGATTGAAACAGACTTATCTACTACATTATGTAAACCATCATACTTATACTCATTCAACTTAGTATTCACACAAGAATCCTTTTCTGCAGGATTATGCTTCTCTTCTCTTCAAGCATCCATGACTGCTTAAGTTGAAGTATGCTACCCGGGTAAAAGATACAGCACCGCCAGAAGGTACACGAAAAAGTTTTGGCAGCATATCGAACTATGCCCATTAGGATTGTGGAATGTAGGTGCCAACATAACCAAATCCAACGATGAAGAAGGTGATCGACTGGAGGAAGAGGTAGAGGAAGTAATGGTTCTTCCCATACTTCAGATCATAGCATGCACAGAAGAAGAGATAGGCCCCAGTAAAGAGCTCCATTTTATGTAACCTGATTCCAAAAACAACACAGAGAGCACATCAATACCATTACAGGTATTACAGCTAAACTTTTGTCTTCTGTGCAGTAGCCTTTGTAGTTTTGATGCTGTTATATTCTCAAGTTAAAAGTCAGTAGGTTTGGGATTACCTATCGCCAATCCTGACTCTTGGCTTCTTAGCTGCTTTGGTAGGCAATTTTGTCTTCATAATATCCCCGAGCTTCTCAGTGACCACCCATTCATTAACTCTCCCTAAATCGAGGAGGCCACTCAAGGTTGCTTTTGTTCTATGCAGAGACATGACATTCTCGAAAAGGACCCAGAACACCAGCAAGTGAAGCGACCTGCGGCGAAGCATCAAGTGAGTGGGTTATCTTTGAAGTTTAACCAAAGAGATGAGCTTAATGATCACTTGGCATCCAGTTTCATGGTTGAATATCCCGCTAAGATTCAATTGAAAGGGAACAGTGGTACCTCGGCGTTCCAACAGAATTCAGCATTGTAATGACGGAAGGTAGGTAGACTAAACCCCACATTGGTATTTCCACTTCAGGAACAAAGACAGTGGCAGGGATCACCAAGCAGTAAAATATAAAGGTCACTATATGACCCACAATCTTGCGGATGAAGAAGAAGCTGTATATCACATAAACTTTGGTCCACAGGGATACTTTCTGCATTGTCAAGGAGGCATCACAAAGCCAATCAGAATCTCTGGAAAAGTTGTGGGTGTTTCTAACACACAGGGAACAGACCTTGTTCTTGGAGATCTCCACCACCATTTTCCTGAACAAGTTCGCTGGTCCACACGACCATCTGTGTTGCTGATGGCGAAATGCCTTGAAAGTACTTGGTAGCTCGCTTTTCACCTGAGCTCAGAGATGTAGGCAATCTAATCAACTACTGAATCGCTTCAATCATTTGAAGATCAAGATGCAAGTTTGTAGCAGGTATACTAATAATTGTTCTGCCTCATCATTTATTTGTTCTGACTTTGCATAGTTATCATAGTTAATGCTTACCCCGAGGTCGTTGAGGAATATAAATTTCCAGCCCTTGAGGCTTGCTCGAACAGCCAAGTCCATGTCCTCTACAGTGGTCCGATCCTTCCAACCTCCGGCTTCATTGATAGCTGCAATCCGCCATACCCCAGCAGTCCCTGCGAAGAGACTCCATTTTAGCAACTCACCTTGACAATGACGACAGGTATTCATCCTTCCATTTCTTACTTAATTCCGAGGTGCACTAATAACTCACCATTGAATCCGAAGAAAGCATAGGTGGAGGATCCCACTTCCTGCTCGATAGCAAAATGGTAATCCAAGGACATCTCCTGCATCCTTGTCATCAAGCATTCATCCGCGTTCACTGCGACACATGCATTGCAAGCAATGCTAAGGAAATCCAGCATCGACAACGTTTCAAATGCTTATTCTAGGTTAATTGTCGCCATGTTCATGCACGTAGGATTGGTCTGTAAAGAACATTATGCAGTAAAGCAAGGATGGCTGAATGGACTACTAATGAGTTGGATGGTGACAGCCGACAAGATAACTTCTTTATCACGCAGGAAGTAAAAGATTAGAAAAGATAAAGATAAAGATAAAGGGTGATTCCTGCGGTGTCGGTGCTTATGAACAGTGCATGAGGAGACAGCTTTGGGCTGTAATATCACGAGTATAATTGCACATGGGAAGGCAAAACGTACAGTTGTACCAGAGTAAAAAACGCAAGTTGGATCCATCTACATTAATCTGCAGCTACCACATTTGTTATTTAGCTACTGCACCATTGAAACATAGCAATTTAGCTGGTCCTCATAATAAACTTAAGGATGCCTCTTTCTCTCTCTCTCTCTCAGGAGGGCAACTCTTCTTGAGGGACAGAAGCAAAGGAATTCCCAACACAAGCTTCTGTCCCCGCAAATCTAGGCATGTGATGTGAGTGTCAGGCAGGACCTGACCGCATCAGAATCTTTTTTTCCCTTGCCATATGTGAAAGAAAATTTGGCCTCTGTTCTCTTGTTGACTTGACTCGCTTCGGTTCTACTGCAGCCATAATCCTCACATTTCACTTTTACCCGTTCTATACTAAGATCTACCGAGGGGTCCCCGCATCAAGTCCAATCAGCACACAAGTCAGGGACCAGGTAACCAGTGGACCGAGACAGACTCACAAGGCTTTATTCTTTTCGTCGACTCCGTGATTAGTTGGCCGAGTCCTATAGGTCTTGCCCGGTGGGCTCCACGATCCGAAACCTCTGCACTGCATGCTACTAAATCAAAATCTAATGCCAGACTACACCGACACTCTCTTCCTCGATCCGAACCTGCTCTCAGTAATGGCATCGAGGTCGGTTCGGGGACTACGGTCATCCTCATTATCAAACAAGATCATTCACGCAAAAAAGGGGTCACTCCCCATCTCTGCGCCCCGTCTGTCTTATTAGCTAGAAGAAACAAAAGAAAGATGTACGTGACTTCTTCCTCTCTCGGACTTGCAGTATATTGCTCGCTTGGAGCGGAGCAGGACAGTGTTGACGACAGTGAATTTGCAGCTAAAACAAGCACCAAGGAGAGAGAAAGAGGTGGAACAGCATGACCACGAGAATGCAGTGTCGGCAGGAAGAGGAATGAGAAGAGGGATTGCGTTACCGAATCTCCAGCGGCCCTGGACGAGGCCGATCTGGGGGTTGTGGATGAGGAACGGGATGGTGCGACAGAGGAAGTCGGGATCCGGCTGGAAGTCGGCGTCGAAGATGACGACGTAGTCGCAGTCCTTGACGTATCTGTGCTTCATCCCCATCTTGAGCGCCCCAGCCTTGTAGCCTACCCTGTTGTCCCTGATCTCGTACCGTATGTTCACCCCCTTGCTCGCCCACCTCCGGCACTCTACCTGCACCATCTCCTGCCATACACACACACACACACACACACACACACTCTGTGCTTCAGATACAATCTAAAACCATATGATATTTTGTTTTCTGATTCTTTAATGGGGAGTTGTGCACTCGCAGAATGAGTCCAAGTGTTGGCGACTAAGCATTATTGTTAGTGATCACCGGTGTTTTACTCTTCTTGCTCGACAGCTGCGTGTGTAAGTGCAAGCGAGACGCTATCTTAAACTAAGCTTGAGGGCATCGGGAATCGCCTACCTTAATGGCGGGATCGGTGGAGTCGTCGAGCACTTGGATTATGAGACGATCTGACGGCCATGAAAGCCCACATGCAGCTCCGATGGAGAGCTGGTATACCTGTAGCACCACATGCCATTAGATTAGAGCTGAGAGAATTTTAATGCCTGCACGTTGCGGAACGAGGCAGTGAATGGCATCAGGGCGCGCAACCTCCTTTTCGTTGAACATGGGGATTTGGACGAGGACCATGGGGTACGCTGCACTGCCTCGCTCCATGTCGTCCTCCATGGGCTCCCACTTGTAGCGCGTCTCCGGCCGCCTCCGGAGGAGCTTGACGGCGAGGATGACGGTGGCCATGTACACCTTCTCCACGAAGAGCATGACCGACATGGCCAGGCACAGGAACACCGCGAT